AGTACATGATACTTTATAATAAGCGACTATATTGTTTACTTACATATTTATCCTACTATACTGTGTATCACTATTTTAGAGTATGCCCCTTCTACTTTTTAAAAGCTTATTGTAAAACAACCTCAGGCAGGTCCTACAGAAGGTATTCCAGAAGAAGACATTGTTATCATAGGAGATGACAGCTCGAAGCTCCTGAAGACCTTCCAGGGTAAAAAGATGTGGAGGGAGAAGACAGTGATAGTGATGACCTGACCCTGAGTAGGCGTAGGCTAATGTATATGTTTGTATCTTTGTTTTTAACAAGAAAGTTTAAAAATTAAAATAAAATCATATATTTAAAAAATAGAATGTATAGAATAAGGATATAAAGAAAAAAACATGTTGTACAGCTAGCTTATACAATGTGTTTGTATTTTAAGCTAGAGTTATTACAAAAAAGTCAAAAAGTTCAAAAAAGAATTTAAGAGTTTATAAAGTAAAAAAGCTACAGTAAGTTAAGGTTAATTTATTATTGAAAGAAGAATGTTTTTCTAAATTTAGTGTTACCCAAGTATACTGTGTTTATAAATTCCACAGTAGTGTAATGTCCTAGGCCTTCACATTCACTCACCACTCACTCATTGACTCACCCAGAGGAACTTCCAGGTGTAGAAAGGGAAAGGTAATAAGTATCTGGATAATATTTCTAGAAAATCCACCAAATTAGTAAAAAATTGATACCAATAATAAGGAAAAAAAGAGAATTCAGTTTAAAAAGAAAATACATACCTGTAATCCCAGCTACTCAGAAGGCTGAGGTAGGAGGATTGCTTAAACCAGGAGTTTGTGGCTGCAGTGAGCCATGATAGCACCACTGCACTCCAGCCTGGGTGACTGAGCAAGACTCTGACTCTATTTAAAAAAAAGAAAAGAAAAAGGGACTCAGTGACTCAGCCTGTAATCCCGTGCCTTTGGGAGGCTGAGGTGAGTGGATTGCCTGAGCCCGCGGGTTTGAGACCCACCTGTGCAACTTGGCAAGACCTCACCTCTACAATAAATCAAAAAATTAGCTGAGTATGGTAGCGCGCGCTTGTAGTTCCAGCTACTTGGAAGGCTGAGGCGGAAGGATCGCCGGAGCCCAGCAGGTCAAGGCTGTGGTGGCTGGGAGCAGCCACTGCACTCCAGTCTGGGTGACAGAGTGAGACTCCAACTCAAAAAAAAAACAAAAACCCAGGTGGAGTGGCTCACACCTGTAATCCCAGCACTTTGAGAGGCCAAGGTGGGAGGATCACTTGAGCCCAGGAGTTCAAGACCAGCAAGATCTTGCAATATAGCAAGACCTCATTTCTACAAAAAAAAAAAAAATTAAAAATTTAGCCAGGTGTGGTGCGGTGTGCCTGTATACAGTCCCAGTAACTCAGGAGGCTGAGGCAGAAAGCTTGCCTGAAACCAGGAAGTCATGGCTGCAGTGAGCTATGATGGTGCCACTGCACTGCAGTCTAGGTGATAGAGTGAAACTCTGACTTAAAAAAAAGAAAAGAAATATACAAAACCTATATGAGTAAAATTTTAAGGCAGATATAGCAAACAAAGAGATAATTCATGGTCTTGGATATGATGCCTCAACATCATAAACATGTCAAGAATCCCCAAGTTAATATGTAAAATTAACAGAATAAAAATGTCAACTACTTTTTGTCTAGAGTTAAACAGGTGTATTCTAAAATTTGTATGTTATAATCAGTAAGAATTGTCAATAAAACCCTGAAAAAGTAGAACAACCTGGGGAAAGACCAATCCTACCAGATAGTAAATCATATTACAAGGCATCTTAAATTAAGACAGTGATGTCTTGGAAAATGAGTAGATACACAAAGGCCTAAAACTATTTTTAATTTTTCATATAAAATGTCCTAAAATTAATCACAAACAACCAGACACATAAGAAGTCAAACACCAAGAGACACATCAGACAGTAAAAAGAGATCATCAGGGAATTAGGATAAATAAAAACATAATATAGATAAATCTTACATACATAAAGTTGAGCAAAAGAAGACAGATACAAGGAATACTTGTCATTTATATAAAGTATTAAAACAGGCAAAGCTTATCTATGGAGTTAGAAGTTAAGATTCTTAGAGAAAGAGTTAAAGGGGGAGAGAATGAAAGGAGGCACAGAGATCCCATCTGGAGTGCTGATACTCTCAGTTTTATCTAGATGTGGCTGATTTGTAAAAATTTATGGAGCTATATGCTTATTATCTGTGTAAATATTTTCAATTACTGCTTCAAAGAATCTCAGAAAACCCAAATAGAATACAAAATATTAGAAATGATAGAAGAATGAATCAAGATGGCTGAAAGTAAGATTAATATACAACAATAACATACAACAATCACAAATCCACCAGCAACAAACAACTAGAAGAGAGAATTTGAACACGGAAAGCTGATGCATATTTGCCCTTCCTGTGATTAGGATTTACTAAAGAATTAAGAGAGTATGGAACTGATAAAGACAAGACAAAGTGAACAATGGAATAGAATAGAGATCTGGAAACAGATCAATTGAGATGTATGAAACTTTGAGATGTATGAAACTTTGGTACCTAACAATGGTAACATATCAGACTGGTGGAGAAAGATTGGCGACTGTTCAGTAATGAAGTTGGGGGGAAATGGTTATACATATGGAAAGAAAGAAAATTATATTCTTAACTCACTCTATACAGAAAAATAAAACTCATAAATGAGTCAATAATAAGGCTTTACATTATTAGAAAATATAGGTAGATATCTTATAGACCTCGGAGTACAAAAGGAATTTTTAAACAAGGCACAAGAAGCACAAAGGCAGAAAAGATGGATAAGTCGGACAACATTAAAATTAGTAATTTTTATCAAAACTCCTTAAATAAACAAATGTTAAACCTCAAAGTTTCCCAGTCGAAGCCAGAAAACGTGTGAGATAGGCTCATGTTATTTTAATTCCACAAACATTTATAAAATATTTACTAAGTATACGGAAATTAATGGAGAGCTAAAAGAGATTAATAAAAACAAACGAGGTTCTTTGAAATTTTTAATAAGATTGCCATATCTCTGGAAAGACTGATCAAGAAAATATGCAAATACAGATTGAAAGAGAGGAAAACTCATAGAAGTGGGTTAAGTATAATAAAACTTCAATAGGGAGACAACTGATCTTATCTACCGGGGAGAGAGGTATGGACAGAAATGTAAATTACAATAGTGTGCTAACAGATCCCATCGCCTGTAGAACTCATCTGCCCAGCCAAGTGTCTCTTGAAATATGAGGAACATATTCCAAGTAAATACATTCATTAGTTTATTTATTCAAAAACCACATTTGGCTCTCTATGCCAGCCTCCATTTCAATGCCTGGCACAGAGACTAAAAGGATTTCAGAAGACAAAAATCAAAGGACTGCAAAGGAGGGAAGCAGCTGATGACAAGGTCAGGGAAGAAGCTGCCATGTGAGTGAGCAGAGGCTTTCCATCTGGTGTGGTAACAAAGATGGCAGTGATGTGAGGCTTGATGGAATTAACAGACCTCACAGTTCAAGACAGATGTCTATGTGTCCATAGTCACTTGCCTGCTATACTGGTTTGCTACTTGAATTAGAAAACCTAGAAGGAAACTGGAGTGGATACCAGGATGCTTTATCCAAATCCTCTCTTCTGGGACACTGCAGGCAGCTCACAGCTGCCTTCCTCACTGGACATCGCCTTTAGCTTCAGAAAACTGTCCCTCCCATGGTCGGGGGCAGCAGGCCAAGGATTGCCTGATGTAGGAGGACAAAGGCAAGGCACCCTTGTATGTTTGGAAGAATTATGAAGCACCATCCTAATTCCAGAGCTTACCGTTGGACAGCTGAGACCTCAGTAACAGCGAGGTTGCAGGTCACCTGCTCCTGTCTTTTTCAATTCCCTACAGGTGTCTTTTCCAAGAGTAAACCAGCAATCAGCCCTCTCTGCACCTTTCCAGGGGAACCTAATCTAGGATAACTTTTGAGGTCCTTTTTCAGCATACTCCCTTAGAGCCCAGGCTTTTTTTTTTTTTTTTTTTTTTTTGAGGTCGTGAATCTCTTTGACAATACAATGAAAGATAGGACCCACACATGGGCACATGTAAACTTGGACAGACATACTGTCTTAGAGCTTGTTTCCTCTCCTCCACATCTTCATCTTTACTACCCAGTTCAAACTTCACCACCTATAAAAAGCCTCAAGTAGCTCTTTGTACATAATCATAAGATTAGCCACCATTTATCGAGCACTTCCTCTCTATAAGACCCTGTGCTAAGTGCTTTAACTTCATAATGCCTTTGATCATGACACAACACCTCAGGGTAGTGACTAATATCTTCCTTTTAGAGATTTAAGATCTTGCCCAAAGTTACACAGCTAGTAATTAGCAGATACTGGATTAAAACCCCAATTTGTTGGTAAAGCTTGTGCTCTGAATAAATGACGAAGAAAGAGAAGGGAAGGTTAAAGAAGAAAAGTTCCTCTTCTAAGGTCCCCCTAAGGATAAGCTCAAGATTTGAGATCTAAACCCAAGGCCTAACTAACCCCAAAGCTGGAGCTCTCTAAGTTAAACGGGCAGTGCTCATGAGAACAAAAGTTGATATTGTCCCACCTCTGCCCTTTGCGGCTCTTTTGTCATTTGCGTTTGCTTATACAGCGATTCCCAAAAGATTTTTGTGCGGCCTTGAAGTGGCTATCTAGAGCTTCTTTCCTCCCACGGAGAGGCGGTACGCTGGCTTCCGTACAACGTGGCGGCTCCATGCATCCCCGCCCACAAAGGCACAGTGCGTCGGCATCCGTACAACATGGAGGTGCTCTGTACGCCATCCCGCTGGTTCTGACGTAGCTTCCTGTCCTGCGCAGGCAAATTTGACTTTTGAACTCGTAAGGACTTCCTTTTTCTCTTTCCGGGGACGCTGTGTGAAGGTATGGGTTATTTTTTTTTTTTTCACCCTCTCTGTCCCCTTTACAATCTGCCGCCATCCGAGGAGTTGAAGGGGCCAAGAGCTCTCAGAACCAGTCTTATGAACTGACGTAGGGGTGAGGGGCACAGGAGGGAGGCTGGTAGTAAGCAAGTCCCCTTCTTTTAGCTGTGGTAACCTCTCGATCCTGGCGGCCTCTCCGAAGCCGTAAGTAGCCGGAGCTCAGCGCCCGGGGTGTATGCCGTCTTCGGAGTGCAGCGTTTGGAGACACAAACGAGTTGTCCGACTGGGATCGCCGAACGTTTTCATACCTTAGGCCCACGTTTTAACACCGCGCCTTTAGGTGTCCCCGGGCTTTGGAAGGGCCGGAGGCCGGCAAGTTCGACAGTGGTTTCACTGTCGGCTTCTCTTTCCAAGGCCTGTAGCCAAGAAGAGAAAAATGTGTTAGTGGGGAGTTTTCCGTCTTTGTTTCAGTGGTTGCTTTGGTCACTTGCGCCGTCTTTACTTGTCAGTTTTGGCTCTTGATAGTTCTCTTTTAGTGTAATGTTAGCAGATTTTGATAACAGACGCAGGCTGTTTTAAGTAACAAAATGCTGTCATGGAGCATGGGGTTATGAAGTGAAGTCGTTATAAGGTTTGGAATGGAAGATTAGATTGGCTTAATTCTTGATCGTGTGTTTTGTGAATTTTGATAGTTCACTTAAAAACCAAGTTACTTATGCTTAACCGATTTCGTAAATAGCATCATCAAGTTTTGTTTCCAGTTGGTAAGTGGGAAAAAAGCAAGTGCAATAATACAAAAAGACACTTGTCTAACACCAAAATTATTTAAAAGTACTCCTCAAACGCTGCTTTGGAACAAGACATGGAACCCTGTGTCAAGACATTGTGTTGGGCAGGATAGCTCTTGTCACATAATCCTGACGACAGCTGTATAAACTAGGCAAAAATCCCGTTTTAGAGACAGAGAAGCCAGCTCCTTCCACTGTATATTCCCAATAAATGGCATGCCTAAGGATTCAACTTGAGAATTTGCTTCTTGTGCTCCTTTAAAGCAATGTTTTTCCACCTTGCCTGGTAGCACTTTCCAGAGCCTGGTAATCAGAATTTTAGCCAAGCACTCCAGTTGATTACCTTCAAAACAACTGACATTCATTGTCTCTTATTATCAGTCACCTCTAAATAGAAGTAGTTTTAAAATGTGGAATCTTATAGAAAAAGCTATCTTAACATAAGGGTGTTTTGTACATATAAAAATATGTGGATATTATATAAATTATGTGATTTTGTTTTGAGGTTTGAATTACTGTCGCAGTGGAAAAACTTGATTTTATTTCATTTTTAATTTAGGCACTCAGAATGGTCCAACGTTTGACATACCGTCGCAGGCTTTCCTATAATACAGCCTCTAACAAAACTAGGCTGTAAGTATTTCTAAAATTTAAGACACATACTGTCTTTAGCTCTGCAAAATGCTGATCTATTGTTGTCTCACTTCCTAGGTCCCGAAATGCTCATCTATTGTTGTCTCACTTTCTAGGTCCCGAACACCTGGTAATAGGATTGTTTACCTATATACCAAGAAGGTTGGGAAAGCACCAAAGTCTGCATGCGGTGTGTGCCCAGGCAGACTTCGAGGGGTAAGTATTACTTTTGCTGTATACGGGAAACAGGGCTTGAGCTTGTGAGCGTGAGTCCCCTGATGTGGGAATGAGCCAGGGAGAGGTCACCACTAAAAGTTCAGAGTTAGTGAACATCCATGATCAGATCTGCCTAGAGCATAGACCTTTTAACACAGTCTGCAAAATGAAGTGAAATTAATGCTCCATTTTCCTGTGTAGCTTACTTTAATATTTGTAATTAAAGTGTCACAAAATAATCGCAGTGTTTTCCTTAATGCAGGTTCGTGCTGTGAGACCTAAAGTTCTTATGAGGTTGTCCAAAACAAAAAAACATGTCAGCCGGGCCTATGGTGGTTCCATGTGTGCAAAATGTGTTCGTGACAGGTAAGTAAAATGCCTGAGTCACATGTGCTTTCTTAAGCAAATATGTGCAAATAAAATAAAATCCATTAGAATCAGTGAAAAACTAACTCATTTTAAATCAAAGCTGCCTACTTTAGAGTCCTTGACCACGGATAATTGATGCTCTACAAATCAATAAATTGTACTCGGATTAACAGAATTTGAGGTTTATGCTTTATGCTAGGTGAGGAAGTTAAAAGGAACTAGTTTTATTAGGAAGGCAGGTAAGAAAATCTGTAGGAGTGGTTTGGACATTGGTAGATAGTAAAGTGTAGGAACAAAACAGCTATGTGTTCTCCTGTGGCTGGAGCAGAGAGTGACAGACAGCAAAGGTAGAAAAGCAAGATGATGACAGGCCTTATGGGATAAAAGGCAGATTCCTAGTTTAATTCTTTAGATGTGGGAATTAATGGATTTTGAGCAGGGCAGAGAACTCTTTGGTGTACCAGAAACAAACTCCAGCAGGGTGGATGGTAAAGTCGTTTGTTCAAGAGATGTGAGGGGGGGGGCACGGTTTTTATTTTTAGGAAGAGGAGATGGCACTTGAATTCAAGACCTAAAGACTGGAGGCAAGGGTGTCCGGGTAGAGGGCTCTTTTAGATGTGAACAAGAATTGTAGAAGCATGGGTAAAAGTGGGAGCAGTGGAATTTATGGGGAGTAACATCAGTCTCATTTTTTTGTGTGCAAACCGAAACTTACACTTAAGTTCACATAGCTGGTTAGGGGTGGGCAGCCTAGGTTTTATTTAGTCCTTTAGTCTTCATCCTCACTGGCTACGTTAAATTGCCTCCAAAGAAGGTATCAGTGGAAGGATTTCACAGGTGGTTGGTTTTCACAAGTGAAGGAGTAGGTTCAGAGGAGTAGTTTTGCCTCCAGACTATTCATCTACTGTAAAGGAGTCTGGCTGAGTTTCTAAACCAGGTCTTTTGACACCAGTCCAGGCAGACTCATTTCTGTCTTTTAGGAGTTTGTAAGGGGGGCAGTAAGACATTAATACAAATATAGAATAAATATAATTTCTGGGAGTTAGGGAAAGCCTAACTGAAGTTTAAAGGAGAAATTATTTTGCCTAACTTGTTTTTTATTTTTTGAATTGGAGTTTCTTGAGAAATTCAAGTAACTGGAAATGACATTTGACATTGAATTTGAATGATGGGTATGTAAATTGTATACAAAACACAGGAAGGGCATTCCAGGCAAGGAATATACAGTCAGTTTGATCTGGCATGTTGGTGCTGTGAAATGGAGAGTGGGAAATGTACATTGGAGATAAGTGAGTGAGTAGGTCTTGAGTGTTAAGCCAGGGGAGTTTGACTTTTGCCAGTCTTTGGTTCCCAAACTTTGCTGAACATAAACAGATGGCACATTTATTAAAAATACAAATTCTCAGGCCTTAGCTCATGGATACTTGAATTGGAATCTTAAGGATAACCTAGACCAGGGATACCTGTGGGAAACAAGATACCTTGCCTCCAGTGCTAACTGATTTAACAAATACTTTTGAGCGCCTGCTTTTTGCCAGGTCCTGTGCAACACTCTACCTGGAACTTCTCTACATGAAGGTTCAAAGTCTAGAAAACTCTTCCAAACTTAGTACTTATAAAAATCTCTGTGAAATAGATATGAAATTTATTTTGTGCCTCAATGTAGAGAAGATAATTTTAATTCACCCAAGTTGATACAGTTAGTGTGTTGTTGTTGGCCCCGAATAGGCTTTAGAATACTCTTGATGAGGTGCCTCTTGATAATCCTTTTACCCCTTAATTTTAGTTTCTAGCACATAGCTGCTTCTGTGTTACTTTTGTTGTTGATTTTTAAAAATGTGGTTAAAACATTCTAAGACATTTTGCGAATCAAGTAACACCATAATGTCTTGCATCCTAGTAATACATTATGTTGAAGCTAACAGAAGTGATAGGATGGTCTCCTGTAGGGATGGTTTTATAGTTTATCTTGACTCAGGAGAGGAGGGCAGGTACTACTGGCATGAAATTGAAGAGTGACCTTGGTTATTCATAATGCCACTTCAAGAAAGGAGACCTTAAGCTGACAGGGTCCATCTATGTAATCTCAACTGTCTTAAGTTTTACTCATGGGGTTCATGTTCTTCCTGAGTTTCCCGGATTGCTTTGCTTAATTATTTTATGGTTCTGTTCCTTCTTGTGTTAAGAAAAAAAATTCAGCCAGGCTCGGTGGCTCAGCCTGTAATCCCAGCGCTTTGGGGGGCTGAGGTGAGTGGATTGCCTGAGCCCACGGGTTTGAGACCGCCTGGGCAACTTGGCGAGACCTCATCTCTTACAATAAATCAAAAATTAGCCAGGCACAGTAGCGTGCGCCTGTAGTTCTGACTACTTGGAAGGCTGAGGCAGAAGGATCGCTGGAGGCCAGCTGGTCGAGGCTGTAGTGGCCAGAAGTTGGGGCAATAGAGTGAGACTCAAACTCAAAAAAAAAAAGAAAAAGTTCATTTCTTAAAACTGTTAACTTAAGATTCTCCTTTCTAGGATCAAGCGTGCTTTTCTTATCGAGGAGCAGAAAATCGTCGTGAAAGTGTTGAAGGCACAAGCACAGAGTCAGAAAGCAAAATAAAGAAATGAAGCTTTTTTTCTGTAATAAAAATTAAAAGCTGTGTTCTGTGTTTCTTTTCTTTGGTCATTTATTAATATACAGGTTTGGTTTCTAGTATTTAGGGACCCCGATGAATTTGGGTTGATTCCTTTTTCTGAAGGAAACAGTTGGTCACTGGTTGCTAGCATTTTTTGATGGCAGCCCTAGCCACTGCTTTGGAGCGTAAATGTCTTTCCCTTTGTAGGCATCGGTTTTTTTTTTTTTAAAGAATGGCCCTTCTCTCAACCTTTCTTTGATCCTTACAGTATCTTTACATCACCAAATTTTGTGGCACAGAAACATTAGTCTTGAAGTTACCTGGAGTGGAATCTTTTACACCATCTTTAATTCTTTTGAGTCATTGAGTTCAAAAACGGTCTCTTGGAGAGCTCAGAACACCCTTAGCAAATAATGAGCTCCTAGTATATGCAAAATCTCAAGTCAGTGGAGTAGTGAAGTTCAAATTGGTTTACATTGGATTTATAATCCAGATCAGGATGTTATAGTGTGGGCTTATTTCCTCTGGGGAATTAATGTAGTAGTGTTTCTGACAAGTCTTGTTAGCACAAGATTATCTAAGTCGGCCAGTCTGAGTGGAGAGCAAAGCCCTTGAACTATTTGCACAAGCCAAGGAATGTGGAAACTGGGTAAATTTTGGCTTCCTTCAGTTTAAGCATTACCTCGCTAGTAACTGGCATGATGTAGCTAAGTGTACTTAAGCAAAGGAGTTTCCTTTATGAATACCTTAATGTAAGGCAGAAAAAGGCCTCTACACCTTCACTCTACTGCCAGCTAACTAGTTCTTAGACAAGATTTTTAGTAAGCACTTTCCAAAAGGGAAGGTGACAAATAGTGGCTAAGCTGGCATATGAACTCAATTTCCTGTTAGCGATACTCAGGGGTATTTCCATAGTGATGGCTAACTCCTGATTTGACATGTGCCTGACACTAAGGTACCAAATGCATCTTAGTCCTCCCAAAAACCCTGATACCTTGATCATCTACATTTTACAGGTGAGAGAAAAAAGTACACAACCCAGAGCATCTGTATTGCTAGGTTTTTTGCACATGGTACATCTGGTGATATGACTGGACAGCCTGGTAAACACTAGCATAAATGATAGCTGGGCCCTCTTGTCGACATCCATAGTTGAATCTATTAGGTTTCCCAAACCTGCCAATCCTCAGACTTGTTAAGCAACCAGAATAACGGAATTACCTTGTATAATTTCCTTTTTAGATTTTATTTGAATAGCTTTAAGAGATACAAACAGATTTTGGTTGCGTGATGCATTTCTATGGTGGCGAAGAAGTCTGGGCTTCAAGGGTACCTGTCACTGCTACCTGTGCCCCTTGTACCTGGTAGGTGATATTTCATCATTCTATCCCTTTTCATCCTCCCCCTTCTAGGTCTCCATTGTCCATTATAGTTCTCTGGCTTTGCAGATCCTTGGCTCCCATTTCTGAGTGAGAACATGTAGTGTTTGGTTTTCTGTTCCTGTATTTGCTTAGGATGACATTCTTCAATTCCATCCAAACCTACATAATGTTTAATCACTATTAAAAATAAAAACATTTTTTAATGGGAATATGATGGAAAAGCCTTGGATTCTAAGGTAGATTAGCATCACTTATTTCCCTATGACCTAGGCTTGTATATATATGCTGCACTAAGATGTTTTGTGATCCTATAGTGTTTTGTTGTGTTTGGTATAACAATCTAAAAATAGCTTTAAATGACACACTTGGACAGAAATGTGCTTTAAATTTAAATTCAATATCTTGGCTGTTCTGTAAACCAGTGTAGTGTTTGAAAAGTTTAAGATGTAATTTTCTTTTTTTGAGTTGGAGTCTCACTCTGTTACCCAGACTGAAGTGCAATGGCATGCTCACGGCCATCGCAGCCTCGACCTGCTGGACGCAGGTGATCCTTTTGCCTCAGCCATCCAAATAGCAGGAACTACAGGCGCACAATGACATGCCCGGCTAATTTTTTGATTTATTGTAGAGATGAGGTCTTGCCAAGTTGCCCAGGCTGGTCTTGAACCTGAGGGCTCAGGCAGTCCTCTCACCTTGGCCTCCCAAACTGCTGGGATTATAGGCCTGAGCCACCAAGCCCAGCAAGATGTAATTTTCAAAAATAGCTACAGGGCTGGGCTCACGCCTGTAATCCCAACACTTTGGGAGGCTGAGGTGAGAGGATTGCCTGAGCGCGGGAGTTCCAGACTAGCATGGGCAACACATCAAAAAATTAGCCAGGTGTAGTGGCATGCACCAGTAGTTACAGCTACTTGGAAGACTAAGGCAGAAGGATCATCTGAGACCAGCAAGTCAAGTTTGTGGTAGCTGTAAACATGCCGCTGGACTTCAGTCTGGGTGACAGAATGAGATCCCAACTCCAAAAACAGAAAAGCTGTGTAGAGGAAAGTCTATTTGCCAAGGTTCTTTTTTTTTTAATTATAAGGATGTGGGGTACAATTCGGGGTTAGGAATACAAACAATTATGCAGGTACCCTTGTTGATGAGGTATGTCCCTCCCTCCCCTAGCAGTTTCCCTCAACTGCCAATCCTACCCACCTCCCCTGATAGTTTTCCACTACTTCCAATCCCTTTCTTATATAATTATAATTGTTCAAGGTCTGTTTATTGGTACTCTGTTCTTTGTTTCTGAGATAGATCGCTGAGTATGATTGACTCCATCTAAGTTGCTACGAAGTCCATACGTTTGTCTTTCTTTATGGCTGCATAATATTTCATTGTGTATATGTACCACAATATTTTTTTAATCCAGTCCAACTTCGATGGCAACATGGTTGGTTCCATGTTTTTGCTATTGTGAATAGAGCTGCAACAAACATACATGTGCAGGTTATCTTTTTTGTAGAATGATTTGAGTTCCTCCAGGTATAATCCCAGTAGGGGAATTGCTGGGTCATATGGAAAGTCAATTTCTAGTTCTTTTAGAAATTGTCACACTGTCTTCCAAAGATGTTACCTTAGTTTGGATTCCCACCAGCAGTGTAGAAGCGTTCCTTTATCTCCGCATCCTCACCAGCATCTGCCATTTGTTTTATTATTGATGGCCATGCTTACTGGGGTTAGGTGGTATCTCAATGTGGTTTTGATTTGCATTTCTCTGATGATGAGTGAGGCTGAGGACTTTTTCATGTATCTGTTGGCTGCCCGTATATCTTCTTTTGAGAAGTGTCTATTCATGTGTTTTGCTCACTTTTTAATGGGGCTGTTTATTTTTTTCCTTTCACTGTGTTTGAGTTCTTTGTCGATCCTAGATGTTAGGCCATTGTCAGATATACAGTTGGTAAATATTTTTTCCCATTCTGTGGGCTGTCTCCCTGCTCTCTTGATGATTTCTTCTGCTTTGCAGAAGCTCATCAGTTTGATGAGGTCCCACTTGTCTATCTTATTTGTTTAGGTATGGGCATTTAGGGTTCTGAATAGGAATTGATTACCAGTTCCAATTTTCATAAAGTGTCTCCTGCATTTTCTAAGATTCTTATAGTTTGAGATTTTACGTTTAGGTTTTGATCCATTTAGAATTAATTTTTGTGTATGGTGATAGGTAGGGGTCCTGTTTCAATCTTCTGCATGTGGTCAGCCAGTTTTCCCAGCACCATTTACTGATTAGGTTCTCCTCTCCCCAGTGGTTGTTGGAGGCTTTATCAAAGATGAGGTGGTTGAGGAATTGAGGCTTTGCTTCCAGAATCTCTATCCTGTTCCATTAGTCTATATGCCTGTTCTTATAACAATAGAGGGTTCTTTTGATTACTGTAGCCTTATACTAAAGTTTGAAATCTGGAAGTGTGATACCTGCTGCTTTGTTTCCTTTGCTAAGAATTGTTTTGGCTATTCATGATCATTTATGTTTCCATATGAGTTTCTGTTAGGTCATTTCCAGGTCTGAGAAGAATGATGTTGGTAACTTAATGGGTATTGTGTTGAATCTGCAGATTGTCTTTGGTAGGATGGACATCTTAACAATGTTGATTCTTCCTAT